TTTTTTTTTTTAATTATTTTTTTTTTTTAATTTTTGTCTCAGCAAGAACCATCTCCCAGACGTGGTGATTCTGAATATATCTTCAGTTAGCGCGATTGAGTGACAAATCACGGAGAAAAGTGAGGTCAAACAAACACACACACAAGATTAGCCAAATTATAGTATAGATGCTCACACACGCTCACACTATCCCAGCTCCCAACTACATGGAAACCTATACAATCACACGTCGCCAAGAGCGTGCGTAACAGAGGGATATGGTTGGTCATCGAAATTAGAAATAATTATTTTTACAGCGGTAAAAATTTTTTACTGCGGTTAAATTATAACCCTTTTACCCAATCAGACGCCTTGTTACACATAATTCAACCGCAGATTAATTATCTTACCGCGGTTGAATGATGTGTAACAAGGCCTCTGATTAGGTAAAATTATAGTCCTTTTACTTAATCAGAAGCCTTGTTACACAGCATTTAGCCGCAATAAAAATAATTTATCCGCAGTTAAATTATGTGTAACAAGGCCTCTGATTGGGTTAAAGGGCAACAATTTTACCGCGGTTAAATTATGACTCTTTTACCCAAAACAGGTCTCTTGTTTAACGGTGGAAACAAGCACAGTTAGTATTTCTAAGAATAACGAATCAAAATGAAATTATTCTGTAAAGAAAACATTGTGTTTATATTTGAATATGCTAATTTTTGCACATATGTGAAGGACAAAAACATAATACCGTGATAGCGATTTCTATACCCAACTATTAACAGTTCCATTGTTTGAGATTGTTAAGAACTTAAAGACAAAGCGAATATGGTAACCGCAAATTCTTAATCCATTTCAGGTAATAGGCATTATATTTGACAGCCTCGCGCACTGGCGGTTTTACCCCAAATAAGTGTTGATATGGCTCCAACTGATTTTGTTGATCGATTTTGTCCATGTCAATTACTAACTATTTTCTAAGATCGGTCAAGAAATTTGCGCTGCTAATCTTTACCAACAAGCTTGAAAACGTGTTATATAACGTCTTCATGCATGTCTACTAGTTATGAATTCCTACCTACATTGTCGGTTGTGGTCACCTACGCTGCGGCTCACAACGGCAACCTTACTTTCTTCGTTTTGCTCAGAATCTAGCAGCTTTGCATGTGGTTGTATAGCAGATTGTATACGGACAGGCCGCTGGGGGCGTTCGTGTGCTCCCATCCACTGATCTATACAAAAGCCGGTGTAAACCGTCTGTGCATCACGTGATAACACATTGGACACACACATTTCTTATTATCACCAAGATTGGAGGTTTTCTACGATACAAAAATTGAGAGGCACCACCTGTCCTTGGGTTTCAGCACAGCTTTGTCACAGATTTCTCCGGAGACAGTTTTTGTGGAAAATCCATGTAGTTTTCACAGCATTTTCCACTTTTACTAAAGACATCTTTATCTTGCGAACACACACACACTCACACGCACGCACGCACGCACGCACGCACGCACGAACGCACGCACGCACGCACGCCTGCACGCACGCACAAACACACACACACACACACACACACACACACACACACACACACACACACACACACACAACAAGCAGTGTGTGGGGGCAGTGTGTGGGGGCAGGGTGTGTGGGGCAGGGAATGGGGCAGGGTGTTGGGGCAGGGTGTGGGGCAGCGTGTGGGGGCAGGGTGTGGGGGCAGGGTGTGGGGCAGGGTGTGGGCAGGGTGTGGGGGCAGGGTGTGGGGGCAGGGTGTGGGGGCAGGGTGTGGGGGCAGGGTGTGGGGCGGGTGTGGGGGCAGGGTGTGGGGGCAGGGTGTTCCCTATAGTCGCCTATAGGCATTTCATTATTGAGCCAGTCACACCAATGAAGCGTAAGCCACTCACGCGATCACGAAGTGTCTAGACTAATCTTTTCGGTGTTGATCATTAGTTAGTTTAGTTGTCTTGCCTAGTTGCCTCTGCCTATTGGCTCTGCCTCTGCCGATTAATTAGTTGTCTCTTTAATATGCATATTATTGAAATACCTGTTGGGGTGTGCAAACATCACCACGTTTTGTTAGTCACTGAAATTATTTTATTACATAATTATGTCATAATAATTACGTTATTATTATTATTATTATTATTATTATTGTTGTTATTATTAATGAGCTACTTACTGAATGATTGCGTGAAACACCACAGAATTGAAGTTGGTTCAGCTAGGCGTCAGCTGAGTAGGGCACAGCAAGCTTCTGATATTATCAAGCGTGTCATAATATAGACATAATAATATAGACATGATAATAGTGTCGTCTATATTAAGATACCCCTGATATCATCACTTGCCCTCTGCCTATATAAGGTTCGTCGACTGCAGTTGTGCTGGGGCTATCGTATCAGACATACACACCCTGACATAAATTCGCGACAATGCTAATTTTCAGACGTTTCATCCACGAGCAGTTAGGTGTCATGTCGCTACAATATCAGTCGATGAATGGGCAACACCTAGTGTCTGCCGAAACACTGTTCGCTGCACTATTGCCTGTCAGTGTGGTAGAGAAAGTCAGAAAGGTACCAAAAGTCCATGCAAGCAGCCTGCAGCAGAAGACATAGCTTCTGGGCGTTGACACTAATTAACGTGATAACGTCATAACGTGTTATCTCTCAGGTATATTAATCATGCGGGTATTTTCGAAGTAATAGTAGTTGCAACATTATCGTGGTATGACTTTCTATTGAACATAACATAAGCGAGTAACAATGAATAAGTATACCATAGTTTCCACATCAAGACGATTACACAAAGTACATGACATTTTGATTTTATATTGTAAATTTATAATATATTTTATTTTGTATTTTGATTATTTTGTATTTAATTGTAGAGCCATTGCCTATGTCGAATAATAGATACTGCATTGTATTCATTATTCCTCGTCCTTCGACCACGTATAAAGGGGGACCGTCCCTAATACTCCGGCCTTGACTCCGTTAGAACAGGTGTTATAGTAGTATATGTTACTGATATGTTCAAAAGCTAATCATGTATTATTAGCTCTTGATATGCAATAGCCAATAGCAAAATACGATAAAGCGTCAATAGCACGTAAACTGTAAAATTTACTATTTGTTATTTCATCCCGTTAACATTTGCGTACGTTGGCGCCGATAAATGAGTCAATCACGAATAATGGCCTCATTAGTTAATTAGTCGCGAAACAAAAACATTTTCGTTGACCGACTTTTTGTTTCATTTATATACACTATAGTAGGGGTAAATAATGGCAGTATCTGTCATTATTCACCACTGATCATATCAATGTATATTAATGGAGTTATCCAGTTTTACAACGTGATTTGGTTTCACACACATGGTTTCATAGTATATAATCA